TTACAGGTGCAAGCCACCATACCCAGTTAGAATAGTTCTAGGCATTGGAAATTCATTAGCAGATAAAACAGACATGATTCCTGACCCTGAGGAGTTTATGTTCCTTCCTGGGGGAAGAGAGATATTGGGTATGAAATGACCAGTCCGATGAGTGTTACAAAATGAGAACTACAGGATGCCTTGGAATGAAATAATTAAAGAGCCAATAATATAAGAGCTCTAGGAGTTCATAAATGAAAAATAGCTACGTGCACTAAAACTGGAAACACAAAAGTGACTCTAGTGGCCCACCAGTAACAGGATGTGTTCTTACTTTAGGCAAGGGTGAATCTTTACAAGATTTTCAGCAGGGTGATGACACGTTCAGATGTGTTTCAGGGAAGCAGCATGTCACAGAGGTCAGGCATTCTGCAAAAAGATAGGTCTAGTTTAAATCTTGTGTTTGCCACTTATTATCCTCATGAACTCAGTTTTACTGTCTCTAAATGGGATGGTCATAATAGTACCTACCTTGTAGGTTTTTGTAAGGAATAAATAAGACAATGCAGTACACTGTAATTATTACTACTTTTTAAAAAAAATCTTAGATCCTTGATCACTGTGTAGAGGACAGGTTTGAGAGGATTAGATTCTTGGGACAAGAGACCAATTTGTGGGCTGTTGAAGTAGCCTGGTGCAAGAGATGAACTAGAGTGGCGGTTGCAGAGAGGAAAGTAATTTTAGATATTTAGAGAGTTTGGGGGAAAAAAGGTATACCCGCAATTCCATTCCTGGGGATATACTCAGGAGAATTGAAAACATCTGTCCACACAAAAAATTGTATATCAATGTTCATAGTGATGTTATTCATAATAGCCCGATAATGGAAACAACCCAAATATCCATCAACTTATGAATGAATAAATAAAATATGGTATATGCAAACAATGGACAATGAAATTTTAAAACACTATACTAAGTGAAAGAAACCAGACACAAAAGGCCATATTATTGTATGATTCCATTTATATGTCCAAGATAGACAAATCTATAGAGACCCAAAGTAATTTGGTGGTTGTTAGGAGTTGGGAGGAGGTGAAAATGGGGAGTGAGTGCTAACAGGTACAGGATTTATTATTGGGATGACGAAAATGTGCTTACAATGAGCCAGGCACTGATCTAAGAGCTTTACATCTAGGAAGTCTTTAACTCCTACCAACAACCCCCGATGAAGATACTACTTTTACATCTCTATTTACAGAAAAGGGAATAAACATTGAGGCAGAGAGGTTGTGGCTGAGGTCACAAAGCAGAAAGTGACAGAGCTGGGATTTGAAGCCAGGTACGTCCAGCTTTAGAGTCCTTGCTCTTATTCTCCTTACTATACTCCTCTTGCTACAGAGTAGCTAGTATGATATCCTTTCTGCCTCATTTATCTGTATTGTATCAAGGTCTTTCAGGATACCACACGTTGACTCAAAGGTGTGACTGAAGACAACTACTATAGATTTACTTTTGGTGAGTTTAGGCACTGGCTTTCTCAGGCTAGCTCCATCTTGTGGCTGATTAGCAATGACGTTTCCTCGTTTGCCTTTAGATCCTAATTGAGGTTCATGATCATGACCCTGAGGCACAGTCATGAACTTGAACTGCCTTCTGAATCATAAAAGAAAGATTAAACTATCCACACTGTTTAATCTAGAACATAAACTCTTTTAGGGCAGAGCCACCTACTTTTGAGTTGTAGGTGTGGCTTGCACAGTGCATTCAATTACTAGAAGGTTGATTTTAAAAGATTGACAATTGGCCTGGCACAGTGGCTCATACTTGTAATCCCAGCGCTTTGGGAGGCCAAGGTGGGTGGATCGCTTGAGGTCAGGAGTTGAGACCAGCCTATCCCAGCCAACATGATGAAATCCTTCTCTACTAAAAATAAAAAAATTAGCTGGGAGTGGTGGTGTGCACTTATGGTTCCAGCTACTTGGGAGGCTGAGGCAGGAGAATTGCTTGATCTTGAGAGGTGGTGGTTGCAGTGAGCTGACATCACGCCATTGCACTCCGGCCTGGGTGACAGAGTGAGACTCTGTCTCAAATAAATAAATAAATAAATAAAAATCATCTAGCCTAGTTCTCTTTGCATCAAAAAGCTAGGTGTTAGGCCAGGCATGGTGGCTCACTCACGATGGTAATCTCAGCACTTTGGGAGTCCGAGGTGAGCAGATCACCTCAGCCCCGGAGTTGGAGACCAGCCTGGGCAATGTGGTGAAACCCCATCTCTACAAAAAATTAGCTAGGCATGGTGAAATGTGCTTGTAGTCCCAGCAATTCGGGAGGCTGAGGTGGGAGGATTGCTTGAGCCCAGGAGGTCAAGGCTACAATAAGCTGAGATTGCAACAATGCACTCCAGCCTGAGCAGAGTGAAACTGTGTCTCAAAATTTTAAAAAGCTAGATGTTATTTTACATAAATCCTGCCTCATTTAAACCCCACCAGAGTCCTGTCAGAAAGATGTTATTCTTCTTCTTGCTATATGGGTTCAGATAGGTTAAATAACATGTTCAGGTTATTCAACTATTAGATGCCCAGGAAAAAGACTCAAGACCCCTCCAAAACTCCTTCCTTAAAGGAGCCCAAGTCAGGCGCAAGTAGGTGTTGTACTGAGAGGCTCTTCCTACAGGCTGCATCTTTGAGAGTGCTGTTATAAATAATTTTCACTACTCCTACACCTACTTTGACCCCTAAGAACCAGGGGAGAGGCCCCAACTTCTTCTTTCTAGTTATGTGCTTGCTCATTGGGGTGTGCCAGCAGCATGCCATCCTCCAAAGGCCTGCCAAGCAACCAAGCATAAACTGGCCTACACAGACTCTTTTTAGGCAAGTGATTAACACCTGTCTTTTCTCCTCCAGTTTTATTGAAATAGCCTAGTAACTAATAGAGCCGGTTCATCAAAGCAGTTTACAGTCAGTGTCTTGAAGCTTGACTGCTTAATGAAGTTCAAGGCAAAGTACCTTTAAAATACAGCTCTAATATCCTACATGTAGGAGATATTTCTTCCTAGCAACATCCTTGGAGCACAAATAACTTCTGCCTGGGAAAACATCAGTATTATCAAAAATAATGACACTGTCTTTTCTCCAAGGTTTTACATTTTCTCTTTTTGAAATGAGTAACAGGACAAATCAGACAGGTTCTGAGAGCCTGTACTTTTGTAGGAGGCGTGGGGGAGCAAGGTTGGCGCAAATAAGAATTGAGGCATTGTTTCTGCTCTGGCATAAGAAAGTAGGACAAAGCCCTGAATTTCATGGGTGGGTTCTGACTCACCCTTTGCATTTCTTTTTAATGTTCATATCCAACAATGAGGGGAGATGAGGAGCAGGGAGTCTGGGGGATGGGCATGGAGAAGGTAAGGAAGAGGTGAAATGCATGCAGCATGTATGCACTGATGGAAGGCAGGAAACAGATAAGGTCAGAGAAACTAGACCATCAGATGAGGGACTGGAAGAGGAAAGAGAAGGGTTGAAGACGAACCGAGAAACTAAAGGGAAAACAGCGAGAAAACACGGGTAAAGAAAAAAAAATGCTTACATGGGGGCAAGTACTGTTCTGTCCTTACCATGAAAGATCTGGCACCCTCACCTGATCTGCTCTCCCTCTCACTGGGTTCCAGCCAGACTGATCTTGCTGTTGAACATTCTTGCATCAGACCCTTCCACTTGCTGCTCTTCCTGCAGGGATCTCCCGGGTCTGTCCTTCCTTCCTTCAAGTGGTCTCCCTAACCACACTCTACATGAAACAGCACCTCCCTTGGCCAGACGCGGTGGCTCAAGCCTGTAATCCCAGCACTTTGGGAGGCAGAGGCAGGTGGATCACGAGGTCAGGAGTTCAAGACCAGCCTGGCCAAGATGGTGAAACCCTGTCTCTACTAAAAAATACAAAAAATTAGCCAGACGTGGTTGCATGTGCCTGTAATCCCAGCTACTCTGGAGGCTGAGTCGGAGAATTGCTTAAACCCAGGAGGCAGAGGTTGCAGTGAGATCGCACCACTGCACTGCAGCCTGGATGACCGAGAGACTCCGTCAAAAAAAAAAAAAAGGAAAGAAAGAGTACCTCCCTTAACCTTACTGTCCTTACCCTGCTTCATGCTTGAAGCTCCAGTCACCATCAGACAGACTTTCTGTGTTTGGGCTACTGGCTATTGTCTGACATATACCCGCTCCTAGAACGTAAACTCCACGGGAATGGGGACTTTGTTTTGTTCCCTACTGTAACTCCAGCACCTACAACAGTGCCTGACACCCTCAGGGGTGATTGATACCCGCCGGATGGCTCAGGGAGCGGGTGCAGATCCAGGGAAGGGTATGAAAAGAGGTGTGTACAGGAGGAATGTTTGGGGTGTGCTTTTAGTCCAGCAGAAAAGCACTTTCCACCTTTTTCTGTTTCTCTCTTCTCCTTCTCCCTCCCTCCGCACTTCAGAGGTTGGGGGAAAGCTGCGCGAAAGCAGGAAATAAGGCAAAATCCTAAATCGTCCAGCTGGAATTCTACCGAAAAATTCAGAGGCGAGGAAGACAGGGAGGCAGAGAATAAATGAACACGCAAAAGTGAAGGCAACGAGTGGAAAGTAAGAAGAAAGGCGAACAGACGTCACGCTCTCTGGTCACGCTCCCCGACTCCTCCGAGGCCGGGCGAGGCGCTCCCGGCACGCGCCCCAGTCGCCCCGCGGCCGCGCGGCGTCACCACTTCGGAGAAGGCCAGGCCCGTCTTCCCCCGCCGGCCTCCCAGCGCCCGCACAGCCGAGGCCACAGCACGCGCCCGGGGGAGCCGCGAAGGCGGCGGGGACTACAGCTCCCAGGATGCCGAGCACGGCCGCGCCTGCGCAGTGCGGCCGGAGGCGGAGGTCTGTTCTCCGCTGAGGAGGAGCGGGGCAGAGGAGGGAGGCAGCGGGTGAGAGTTCAGAGTTCAGCAGCAGCAGCCCGAGCCCATGATTCCCATATGCCCTGTAGTTTCTTTTACCTATGGTGAGTCTAATGTGGCCCACGAGGCCTCTGCCCGGCCCCTTCCCTGGCCCCGGGCAGCGGGGAGGCGCGGGGGTTGGGGCAGGCTCCGGGGAGGAGGCGGCGGCCGCCACCCGGGCGTGCGAGTGAGTGAGGGAGTGCGAGCCGGGAGGGGGAGGCGGCGCGGCCGCGGCCCGGGCCCCGCCAGGGCTGCTCTCACGGCGCCTCTCTCTCCTCTCTCTTTGCCCTCCCTCGGCGTCTCGGCTTCTCTGCGTCTCTCCTCCCGCCATGGGACCCGACTTTCCGTGCCCGCCGCAGTGCCCAGCCGGCTGGGGGAAGATGCCAAAATGGCGACCGGCAACTACTTTGGATTCACCCACAGCGGGGCGGCGGCGGCGGCGGCTGCGGCCCAATATAGGTAACGGCACCCTGCCCTCTCCCTGCTCCCCCCTTGCGTGCCCCTCTGCTGGGATCCCGCCGACGCGACGCCCCCGCGCCCGCCCCCCGCCAGCCTAGAGCTCCGGCCCGCTGCAGGCCCGGTCCGACCCAGTCCAGCCCCGCGCCTTTCCCGCCCCGCCCTGCTCTGCCCGGCCCGGCCCGCGGCGGGGAGCGGCCCCCTGTGGGGGCAGGTAGAGACGCGGGAGGTGAGGGACTTGGAGGCCGCAGGGCCCTACGGCAGCCCCGTAGTTAAAATGGCCTCCCGCGGCCTCCAAGCAGAGCCGCCACCGCCGCCCGCAAGCCCCCAGTCCCCGCCTCCGCGCATCCAGCCCCCACCTCCCTTCTTCTTCCCACTTGGGGGGAAGGAAGAGGGTGGTCGAAGGGACCTCACGGGGAGTGCCGTGTCGCAGGTCCACTGGCTTCTGCGACGCCTCTCTGCGTCGTCGCCTGGTGCTTCAACCCCCGGAGCCCTGATAACGTGTCGTAGTCTCGGGTACCTTCTCCGTCTTGGGGCTTCTTCCCCAGACGCTCCATCACCAGCGAGCCCCGTTGACAAACTGCGTGTGTCACTGCGTTCATCGGGTTCCTTTTAAGTTTTTCCTGCTAGGAGAGACGTTCACATACCAACCACCTGTAAATTGTGTAGCTGTTAGACTGGAAAAGATGTGCGAAGTTTCTGGAGTTGAGGTCCCAGGTGGGCCTGTCATTCACCTTGGGGGCTCTTTTCCCTGCAGGGGTGAGTGGGGGAGAAGATGCAAGTGAGATAGCACTGAGTCATTGTAATGCTCCGGATGGAATCTCTACCTTAAGGGAAGCTCTCATTTCTAAAGTGTCTGTAGTTCGTTGTACATCTTATCAAAGACAAACACACACACAAGACACTGGATTTTTAAATTGTTAGTTTTGAGTCAGCCCGAGACAGTCTTTTGATTCGGGACAGAAGCACACACGGCTCCCTGTGTGATACGCTTTTTATGTATATTAGATGTTGATTAAACCCAGGCAGCTTTTTCATCTGATTTACTTCAGGAGGCTCATTGTTTAATGGAAAGGACATCATTGGGAGCCAGAAGACCCAAATTCAGTCTCTCTTGCTCTTGTTTTTATATATATAAATAATTTTCTTACGGAGAAAGGATCTGTGTTACCCAGGCTGATCTCAAACTCCTGAACTCAGGTCCTGCCTCGGCCTCCCAAAGTGCCAGAATTACAGGCATGAGCCACCACACCAGCCTCTTTTGCTCTTGATCTTATGATGTTGGGAACTTCGTATGTTTGAGTTTTCATTATCATCTGTAAAATGAGATGCTGGGCAAACTGTCTTTTTGGGCTGAAACTTGTGGTTCTGAGAAGCCAAGTTGGCCATATTCCATGGCATCCCTAAGATGCCATTTATTGTAAAAAGTACCATTGTAGTACTAAAAAAAATACTGCCAGTTAAAATAAGACACTACTTAAGACTCTATTGAGATGTGAGAATGTATAAATGTGCATTATATTGGCGAAACTAGATTATACTAATTGTTGACTGCCATGTGGCATTTTACAAGTGTTTTTTCTTAAGGCCTTCATTTTAGAAAAAGCACTGAGATGACAAATTACTACAGCAAAGTTTTGGGGCATTTCAAGTATTAGTAAATCCTTTGCTTATAATTTTTGATAATTAAAAAATTTCAGCTACTTCAATAAAATCTTTTAGGGCTTTAAAAAAAATTCAACAGCTTCTTTTAGGGTACAAGTGGTTTTTGGTTACAGGGATGAATTATATAGTGGTGAATTCTGAGATTTTAGTAGGGCTAATAATTTTTGAGGAGAGGAAGAAAAAACATCTTTTTCTGAGAAACGAGATAGCTAATCAGCATCTGTGCCGTAAATCTGCTGCTGGCAAATACTAGTGTTCCGTCTAGAAGACTGTATTTAACCATTAAAATTATACTTGTTTTACTGTGGTTTTTTCTGTTTTCCTAATATGGGTTGAGTGATAGATTTGTTGGATTATTAACTTTATTTACTGAAAATTGATGAGTTCTTTGTGGCACTTCTGAAATATTTTTTCCCTAAATGTAGACCTACAGATAGAAATGAAGGAAGGAAATGCTGATTTAAAGATACTTAATAATTATTTGATAAAATATTTATATGTATTGTTTTATCCCAATATAGGGAACCATGACAAAATTTCTGTTTCTAATAATTTTTTTTTACCTTGAAACTCAAAGTTTAAACTGTAACAGCAGGTTACTAAATTAAGTGTACATCCGATGAGAAAAGACTAGTCTTTTGCCGTTACACGTATATTGTTAAAACTAAGGCATTCTTGTATATAAGTCCTTATATATAAACATAGTTCATGAAAATTGTTTGCATTTAATGACAAGAAATCAGGCCCAATAATACTGGGAATTTTGGCAAGGAAGATGAATAAATAACCTTCATAACAAAAGCACATGCAAAAAGTGCGGTGATTATGCTAATTTTTCTTCCTGACTGGAAATAATTATAATGGAACTTTAGAGATAGAAGACCAGGGTCTACTTTGCTAATGTTTTTTCACATTTGAAAGATCTCAAACAAAGGAAAATCTTAAGTGCAGTTCACTCCTTCATATGAAAACATGAAGATTTTTGTTATTTGGGTTTTTTTTTTTTTTTCCAATCAAATTTGGATAGAAAATAGAGTATTCATGGAGGATCAACTTTTTGTATTTGCAGGTTTCACAGGGCCTACTGTGGGATTTTGTGAATATTTGTATACGTAGCGGTCTTGGAATCAGTCCCTTGCTTATATTGAGGGATGACTGTATTTATGTGTGAATGATGTGACTAAATTGCTTTTCCTGTCATTGAATACAGATAACTGAAAGTAAATATTCTACACCTAAATGTAATTCCAGAGGTCAGGCGCGGTGGCTCATGCCGGTAATCCCAGCACTTTGGGAGGCTGAGGCGGGTGGATCACCTGAGGTCAGGAATTTGAGACCAGCCTGGTCAACACAGTGACACCCCCCACACCCCCCATACCTAGTACTAAAAACACAAAAATTAGCTGGGCATGGTGGCAGACACCCGTAATCCCAGCTATTCAGGAGGTTGAGGCAGGAGAATCACTTGAACCCAGGAAACAGAGGTTGCAGTGAGCTGATATAGCGCCATTGCACTCTGCCTGGGTAACGGAGCCAGACTCCATCTCAAAATAAAATAAGATAAATGTAATTCCAGCTCTTAGTTTTCTTTATTACAGCTCTGTAAGGTATTTGATTAAATGCATTTTAGATTTAGACTTTTTAGCTTGTTAATATTTCAGATTCATTCAACTGTTTTTCATTTGTGTTAATGCATATTAGACAATTTTATGGTAAGCGTTTCTCAATCTTTGTGTTATAAGTCCCATAAACTATGGAATTTTTTCTCCTGTTTCATATTTAAGTCAAAGAAATATGCCAGTTAAGTATTCCTTTGAATGTGTTTACATGTGTACATTTCTCACAGCATGTTAATTTGAGGATGCACAGTAGAAAGCAGATTTCAGACATGGTGAAAATATAGGAATGGCTTCATGGCCAAAAGGGAACTTGGTTGGGTAGATAACCTGTTACAGTACCTTTTTTGTTTAAAAAATGCACTTACACAAATCTAGTTTTATTTTTAAATAAAGCTTGGGGAAAGAACTGTTATGACAGTTCTAACGACTTTAGGGTAGCAAAGATTATGAGGAAAAATAATTTTCAGAGAAAAAACTTTCTAATAGCTTCATAGGATCAAAAATCATTTTTTTTCCTATTTCTTCATTGACAGTGATAGAGAAGTTCTGATAGGAGTTCTTCAGTTTTTCAGGAGAATTTGTGGCATATGCATTTATAAAGCATATGTAATAAACATTATAAAATAAGCCCATTATATCCCACAATTAATAGGACATAACAGTTTCTTTGAGGGTTGGGTTTTTGTTTGTTTTGTTTTGTTTTGTTTTGTTTTAAGACATGGTCTCGCTCTGTCCCCAGGCTGCTTAGTATTGGTGATCATAGCTCACTGCAGCCTCAAACCCCAGAGCTCAAGTGATCCTCCTGTGATGGGCTTCCAAGGTGCTGGGGTTACAGGCATGAGCCACTACGCCCAGCCTTGTTGAGAGTTGTAAACGGCCACTTTTTCTTACTTATACTTTATAAAAACCTTGGATATACTAGTAAGAGGATTTTGATTGTTGCTGGACCCTAAGCATCTGCCAGTCAGAAGAAAGTGTCTCATCTATGATGAGATGATTTTGGGATGTCTTACGGTCTTCTGTTCCTAAAGGATGGGATAACTTGGGTAGACAAACAGTAGCTTGGATAGGCTGCTAAGCTAATGAATTTTCCTTTTTTCCTTTCTCTGTTTTTTTTTTTGCTTTTTATTTGAATGTAGTGCTAAGAATATTGTGTCTTGAATTCAGGAAAGAATAAAAGTAACACTAGTAAGGTAGAAAAGGATTAAACACTGAGAAGGTGAAAAAACCAGGTAAACAGGTTTTTAAAATCAACCTTGGTGATGGAAATTTACTGGCTTTACAAAAAAAAAAATACAGCAGCGGCTAATAACAACCCTTCCATTGTTGAATCAGAGACCTTAGGATGCACTCTGCATGGATAAGCTTGAAATATGAAAATTTTCTTTCCAAAAGGACTGTTGCTGTTACACTGATGATATAATGGCTATTAGTCTTAATAGAGTAGGGTGAGCCAGAATATCCCTGTATAGAATAGGTATATACTTGAATATACTTTTGTAAACTGCCTTATAGTACAGTATGAACAAAAGGGCATAACTTTGGAACCAGATACATGGGCTTTGAATCCCAACTCCATCCCTTCATGCGCTTGGACAAGCCTCAACCTTTCTAAGACTTGGTTTCCCCACCTAACTTGCCTTGAGGTGAAGTTTAAATATAAAATTTTCTAGCCTAGTGCCTGATTATCAGTAGGCATTTCTACCAATGCTGTTTCCTGTAGAGAACTAAGTAATAATATAAGGGTTTTAGAAGGATTCCTTGGTTAATATCTATCATATATTTGTATAGAGAGTTAACGGTAAAATGTTTTAAAAGTAAAACATTTGGAGTCTTCATTACTAATAGAGAAAAAAGGAAAGTTTTTATTTACAGGTAACATGATTATTATGCTTGTCAGGCAAAAATGTGAGAACTAGTAAGAGTGCAGCAAATTTTTGGGTCTAAGGTCAAGCAAGGGCTAGATTACATGGTGGCTCACACCTGTAATCCCAGCACTTCAGGAGGCCAAGGTGGACGGATCACCTGAGGTTGGGAGTTCAAGACCAGCCTGCCAACATGGAGAAACCCCATGTCTACTAAAAATACAAAATTAGCCAGGAGTAGTGGCACATGCCTTAATCCCAGCTACTCGGGAGGCTGAGGCAGGAGAATCACTTGAACCCAGGAGGTGAAAGTTGTGGTAAGCAAAGGTCACACCATTGCATTCCAGCTTGGGCAACAAGAGTGAGACTCTGTCTCAGAAGATCAGGGAAAATCAGTAGCATTCTTATTTCATCAATATTGAATTAGGTTATAAATGCTGTTTATGTATAGCCACCAAACCTATTAATTAAGCAGGATAAAACAAATGAGATACTCAAAAAACACTTTGAGAAGAAAATACAGTAGGATAAAAAAGTCATAAAAGATGACAAAGATGGACTGTGTTCATGAGTGAAAAACCAGTGCCATCAAATTATCTCTTAATTAATCTACATATTTAGTATTACTTCAATAAAAACCTCATAGGATTTTTGGGATAACTTGATAAAAGGATTTTAATGTATATAGTAAAAAAGTGTGTTCAGTTAAAAATTGTCATGAAAGTCTTGCAGAAATGATAAGGACTTGTAATATCAGATATTAAAACATTACTCATAGAAAAATGTAGTATTGGTACAGGGATAGGCAGTTGGTACAGGGATAGATCATTGAATTAAAATAGAGATTCCGGCTGGGTGCAGTGGCTCACGCCTATAATCCTAGCACTTTGTGAGACCAAGGCAGGTGGATCATGATGTCAGGAGTTCAAGACCAGCCTGGCAAAGATGGGGAAACCCCGTCTCTACTAAAAATACAAAAAAAAAAAAATTAGCTGAGTGTGGTGGTGGGCGTCTATAATCCCAGCTACTTGGGAGGCTGAGGCAGGGAATTGCTTGAACCTGGGAGGCAGAGGTTGCAGTGAGTCGAGATTGTGCCGTTATAAACTCCAGCCTGGGCAACAGAGCAAAATTCTGTCTCAAAAAAAATAATAAAATAGAGATCCCAGAGACAGATATGCTTATATAGGCAGTTGGATTCGAATATGTATCTAATATATGTCTGTTTAAATAGATGTAGTTGTTAAAAAAAAAATCAAGTACATTATTACTCAGACATATCAGGTTAATGAGAAGACCATTCAGGCTTATAAATGTTGTAATTGATGAAGTATTTTAGAATTATTTGGATGCATCTTTAGTCTACTTACTAAAGGTGTGGAGGAGTACACCTGTGCTTGTCCATTAATTGTCCATGACACCATTCTGTCAGAATACAGGATTAGAGTAATTATTCTGAGTGTATTATTTCTTCTTATTTCATAAAAGCCATGTGCTGTACAGCATTTAATTCATATTTACAGAGATAAAGTGAATGAACTAAACGCTGCGCTTTTTTGTTTTATTTGAGTATTAGTCTTGTATATACTTTATATTAAAATGCATTTGTAGGGAGTAATTAATATTTTGTGAGCATCTACAGTATGCATAGTACCTGCTCTCGGGGTGTACATTTCTGAGGGTAGAGACAAATGCACCTACAAATAACTATGCCATTATAATAAAGTTTTAATGAAATACTAAAATGGGAAATTGGAGGATTTTGACTATGGAGTTTGAGGTAGACTTTGTGTTCTTTCATTCTGAAAACTGAGGGAAGGTCATTTTAGACAAAGGAAAAGTATTGAGCCAAGACAGGAATATCTGGATTGCATGATTGTTACAGAGACTGAGTTGGCTCTGAAGTCAGACTGCTTGAGCTGAATCTGGTTCCTCCTATTACCTGCCATGTGATCTTGGGCAAACAGTTCTTGTTAATTTTTTAATCTATAAATTTAAGATAATATTTTCTTTGCCTTACAGGAAAACTGCACATATAAGAGGATAGTTTAATGAAATGTAATAAACTGAGTATACCTTTGTAACTTGCACTCAAATTATAAACAAAACAAGATTATCGGCATCCCAAGAGGTTTTTACATTCTCGATTGTATTGTTTTGAGGATTCGGTATTATTTGTAAAGTGGACCTGGCAATGGCTAACACCTGTAACCCTAGCACTTTGGTAGGCCTAGGTGGGAGGATTGCTTAATCCCAGGAGTTTGAGACCAGCATGAACAGCAAAGTGAGACTCTGTCTCTATTATTAATAAAATAAAGAAGAAAAGAAAACATTATTTGTGAAGTGTTCAGAACAGTATCTGGCATATATTATATCCCTATCAGTGTTAGCCATTATTCAGTAGATGGCTGGTGAATATGGATGAAACCAGAGAAGGTACACTCCCTGGCATATATCAAGCATTCAGTAGACATGTTTTGAATTACTTAAAGAAAAATAAAGAATACAACCGTGGTTACCAAAAAGGTAGGGCCAGGGAAAAAAAGAAATACTGGGAGGACAGAGAGCCAGGGGTCATGAAAACCAAAAGATGATAGCAAGGTTGTCAGCTTTACAGAGGCTAGATTAGGGATTTAGTACAGTTATCAAATTATCGGTATAATTTTAATGACTAGCCTATTTAGGAAAACTAGAATTTGATCACTTGGAGCTACAGAAAGATTAGCATAAAATTTTGCTTAAAATAAGTTTGTAGTCTAGTGGTCATATAGATACTTAAGAGTTCTAGAGGTCATATGGGCTTAAATTATTGGGAAGCACTGTGTGAAATCAAATGAAAATAACTTTTTTGAATTTATATTTTATTTCTGGGAAAAGCTATAGTATAAAATAAACTATTAGCATGGTAGTAAGCACTAAATGGGCAAGGCATGTCTTTGACAATAGATTTGAAGAAATACGCTTTTTTCAATGGGGAAAACAATAAAAATGCTGTTTAAACAATAACCATGTAGATGAAAGCAAAGAGTGCTGTGATCTTTGAAAATGGCTTCATAGCTTCTCTTCCTCAATCCTGCCCCTTAGCAAACCATTTTATACTGTAAGCGCAATGGTCTCTGTGAAATGTAAATTTAATGATAACATTCTTCTGTTTAAGTTACTATCAGAATATCTGGTTCTCCTAGCTTTATATTTAGAAGTCTGTAATGCTTCACCCACATTTATGAAATTCACACACTTCCAAAAATATTTGGAGTAAGCTTGTAAAAGCTTGACAGTAAAAACTGAATTGACAGAAGGTTAGTTTTTTTTCCCATCTCACTCAGTGTGAATATTCATACCTTTCCTTGAAGAAATGTTAATACATTTGAGAAATGATGAAGGATTTGTTTTTCTTGAATATAGAAAGTTACAGAGGTTGGGCATGATAGTTCATGCCTGTAATCCCAGCATTTTGCAAGGCTGACGTAGGTGGATTGCTTGAGCCCAGGAATTCAAGACCTGCTAGACCGCAAGCAATCTACCCACCTCTGCAAAAATTAGCCTGTAATCATAGTATATGCCTGTGGTCCCAGCTACTTGAGAGGCTGAGGTAGGAGGATCACCAGAGCCTGGGATGGTCAAGGCTGCGTTGAGCCTTGATTCAGCTACTACATTTCAGCCTGGGTGACAGAGTGAAACCCGGTCTTTAAAAAAGAAAGTTATAGAGCAGTTAGTTTTAATTAATTTATGGTATCCATCAGGGTTTATTGTACCCAATAGTTAGTGAGTTTTTTTGACTAGTTCTGGTTACAAGGATTGACATACCATGAATTTTATTCTTTCTTAGAGGCCTTCCAAACAAAACATTTCCTTTATTTTTCAAAATGGAATAAAATTCATCCTATTTTGCAAGATTTACATCATGGGATCTTAAACATTTTGCTGTTTTATCATTCTAGGAATTATTTCCTCTTATCACATATTCCCAGCTATGTTAAGGACTAATATAATTGGAAAATGGAAGAATGTTGGAATCACCTAGAAGGGTGGTACGGTAGGGAAATAACTGGTTGATATTGCATTACCCAAGTATTGCATCTTCATTCAAGAAGCTAGAAAAGAAAGAGACACTAACTTCATAGTTGGCTTCAACACAGTTGAGAATTCAGAATTGTTCTTTCTCTGCCCATACCAGCAAAGGAGAATAAAGTTGACACAAGAAAATGTTTCCCAATTATCAGATATATCAGAAGGTGAATGCAAAAAGCACCCCTCTAGACTGATGATAATATTGAAATTGTATAAGCAAAAATCTCAGGCTACAAGTCTTAGTTGATAATGTCATCCTACATGAATTTTTCAAAGTCAATAATCAGTACATAAACAATATATTTCTAAGGATTAAAAAGGAAATAATGGCATTCTCATTCAGTTAGTCATTCACTAGAAAGGACTTCATTATGTAATATTGTTTTTTTTGTTTGTTTGTTTGTTTGTTTTTTTTTTTTCTTTGAGACGGAGTTTCACTCATGTTACCCAGGCTGGAGTGCAATGGCGCGATCTCGGCTCACCGCAACCTCCGCCTCCTGGGTTCAGGCAATTCTCCTGCCTCAGCCTCCTGAGTAGCTGGGATTACAGGCACGCGCCACCATGCCCAGCTAATTTTTTGTATTTTTAGTAGAGACGGGGTTTCACCATGTTGACCAGGATGGTCTCGATCTCTTGACCTCGTGATCCACCCGCCTCGGCCTCCCAAAGTGCTGGGATTACAGGCTTGAGCCACCGCGCCCGGCCTCATTATGTAATATTCTGTGACAAGAACCAGAATATCATATTTTGCTAAGCAGATACGTGGCAGAATTCTTTCATCTTTTGTTGTTGTTGTTTTGAGACAAGGGTCTCAAACTCCAGTCCACGCTGGAATGCAGTGGCACAATCTTGGCTCACTGCAAACCTCCGCCTTCCAGGCTCAAGTGATCCTCCTCAGCCCCCTGAGTAGGTGGGACTACAGGCATGTGCCACCATGCCCAGCTTATTTTTGTAGAGATGGGGTTTTTGCCATGTTGCCCAAGCTGGTCTCAAACTCTTGAATTCAGGCAATCCGCCTGCCTTGGCTTCCCGAAGTGCTGGGATTACAGTCCTGAGCCAGTGTGCCTGGTGAATTCTTTAATCTTTTGTGATGTTTGTGCACCGGAATATACTTGATATGGTTCATTAGTGGACAAATGCCGAAAACAGATGTTTTATACTAAGGTAATTGGAAAAAACTAGTTGGTGTAGAAATGAGTTATTGGATTAGACATTCCAAATCTAAAATTGAAAATTGCAGTTATGGAGTAAAGAAGATGGCCATCTCTTTAACAAAATATGAGCCATCAGACATTTCAGAAAAATTTTTTATGGATTGCATTTTGACCCTGCAAGTGCAAGAAGAACCAGAAGTACATAGAACCCGTTGGAGATATATTTCAAATCTGGGGTCAGCATTTGTGAGATGGACATGTTACAAGTTTTTGCATCAATGTTGAGCAGTTAGCTGTGTTTAGAGAACTTGGTTCATATACCTTTGAAATCAGGGGAATATGGAATAATATTTCGGGTTTTCTATAATTTTTTTTACTGTAATTCTTATTTATAAAAGTTTCTAGTAATTTTTTTCCTTATCCCTTAATTTAATGGAAATTATGTATTAAATGAGTATAATTTATATTTTAAATTTATTTAAAGTCTTAAATTTAAAATTTATTTATACTCTTAAATTAATTTTAAATTAAATTTAAAATTTATACTCTTTTAAATTTAAAAAATTTAAAAGATTCAATGGATGCAGATGGGAAATGGTGATAGCTGTCTTTCCTGGTAAGTTAAACATTACAAGAAAATTAGGAGTTTTCATACAACATTTAACCACCTCTATCCCCTGTAGGCTGCCATTCTAATCAGTTGGGAGAAATTGTAGGATAAGCTATCTTATTCTAGTTTTTAAGAAGAAATCAAGTGGCAGGACACGATGGTTCATGCCTATAATCTCAGCACTTTGGGAGGCTGAGGCGGGAGGATCACTTGAAGCTCAGGAATTCGAGACCAGCCCGGGTAGCATAGCGCGACCTCGTCTCTAAAAAAAAAAAAAAAAAAAAATTAGCCAGGCATGGTGGAGTACGCCTGTGGTCCCAGCTTCTTAGAAGACTGAGGTAGGAGGATCACTTGAGCTGGGGATGTTGAGGTACAGTGAACTGTGATTGCAGCACTTCACTCCTTCCTGGGTGACAGAGTGAGACTCTGTCTCACAAAAAATAAAAAGAAGAAATGGAACCTGAATTTAAATTTCCTCTAAAATTCTATGGTAATAAAATTATTGTTATAATAACATTGTAAAGATAATGGGAGCATGACATTACAACATCAAAAATAAGGAATAGCTAGGTGCTGTGGCTCACACCTGTAATCCCAGCACTTTGGGAGGCTGAGGGGAGAGGACTACTTGAGCTCAAAAGTTTGAGACCATATATAAAGAACTCTTAAAACTCAACAGAAAGTCAAATAACCCAATATAAAAATTGGCAAAAAAACTTAAATAGAAACTTGACCAAAAATGACATACAGATGGCCAAAACATATGAAAAGATGCTCAACATCTCTAACTGTCAGAGAAATGCAAATCAAAACCACAATGAGCCATCACCTCACATTTAGTGAGCTATCTCCTCCGTTATGGTAAACCCAAATTTTTATTCCATATTGCCCTGAAAGATATATGGACCGTGTTCTCTAAACACAACCAACTGCTCAACTTTGATGTACAGACTTGTAGTGGTGCAATCACAGCTCAGTGTACCCTCAACATCCCCAGTTCAACGTAGCGAGACTCCCATCTCTGCAAAAAATGAGCCGGGCAGGGTGGCAGGGGCCTGTGGCCTCAGCTACTTAAGAGACTGAGGTGGGTGGATCACTTGAACCTGGGAGGTTGAGCCATGTTTATACCACTGCACTCCAGCCTTGGTGACAAAGTGAGACTCTGTGTCAGAAAAAAAAAAAAAATCCAGATATGGTGGCATACACATGTAGTCCCAGCTACTACTTGGGAAGCTGAGGTGGGAAGATCACCTGAGTCCGGGCAGTCCAGTCTGCATTGAGCCATGATCTTGCCACTGCACTTGCTGGGTAACAATAAAACTCTGTTTCATTTAAAAAAAAAAAAAAAAAATCAAAGGAAGGAATAATTACAGTTGCTTTGTCTTTGGGGTGATTCTGTAAGGAAGTTTGTCTTTTTTTTCCCCCAGTGTTATGCCTGATTTAAAGACATTAAATGTCAGTAATTTTGTAGATAGATAAAATGCCACAATTTGACCTAGAAAAGTCCAACAATATTGAGCATTAAACTTGTACTAGGGGGAAGATTGTGTTTGGTGTGCCATGAAAGAGAAAGAAATGTTGTATCTACCAGTTACATTGCTATTTTGCCCAAAATTGAAACATGCACACAACAGTATGTTTTCTAAGTTATGAAAAGCGCAACTAATGTGAATAACAGAAGCTGTCTGTGTTTTCTTTAGATTTTTCCCACTTCTTTATAACTGTAGAAATAGAATATTCTGATAGTAACATGAGTATTTCACTTAATCTAAAGTTGGTCATTAGTTTTATCCCCCTCACCAATAGAAAGACTTAAAATGCTTTAAACTTGAATCAGTCCTCCTGATTTTGTGCTGTTGTTATATATCTCAGATTTTTTTTTTAACCCTGTGACCAATTACTGTTGGACACGATTATCGTTTCATATGATCATTGATTATTTTAAGTTTACCTTCGTATTTACCACTGTTTTTGCTCAACATTCATTCATTCTGAGATCATTTTTATTCTTTCTAAAGTAACTCTGAGAATTTCCATTAGCATGGGTCTAAAAATAACAGGTTTTTCTCTTTTTTTTTCTTTTTTTGAGACAAGGTCTCACTGTGTTGCCCAGTCTGGAGTGCAGTGGTGCGATCTCAGCTCACTGAAGCTTCAGCCTCCTGGGCTCAAACAGTCCTCCCACCTCAGCCCCCTGAGTAGCTAGGATGACAGGTACACCTCCATGCCTGGCTAATTTTTGTATTTTTTAGTGCAGACAGAGTTTCACCGCGATGCCCAGGCTGGTCTTAAACTCCTGTACTCAAGTGATCTGCCTGCAATAGCCTCCCAAAGTGCTGGGATTACAAGCATGAGGCACCACAACCAGTCTGAGGTTTTTTGGTTTTTTTTTTAATCTTAAAATGTCTTTAATTCTCCCTCCTTGAGTAATCATCACTTAGTCTCTGTAGGCAATTTTTTCCCTCCGGCTGCTTAGAAGAGTTTTTCTTTATCTCTTTCGTGATTACAGTTTTACTTAGATGTATCTTAGTGTGATTCCCGGTTACTTAGTCCTACTTGGGGTTTCTTTGGCCTCCTGAATGTGAACATCATTATCTTTCATTATTTTAGAGAATCTCTGGCATTCTTTTTCTATCTTCTCTCCTAATCTTTCTCTCCATTTGTAATTCCAATTAGATGTAAGGTACCATTTTTTTTAAAATTCTGTCTTCCAAATCTTTTAACCTCCTTAATATTTTTCGTGTACATTCTGGGTAATTTTTACAGATAGTTTTCTGATTCACCAGTTTATTGCTAGCCATATCTAATTATTTATGCAGTAACTTTTCTGAGTTCCTAATTTGTCAGTTTATTTAA